GGGCAAGAAGGTTCAGTGGGTAGATGCACTTGCTGCCAAACCTGACAATCAGGGTTTGATCTCTACGAGATCAAATGAAAGAACTAACTCCTGCAGGTTATCCTTTGACCTTGACATGCCTGCCGTGGCACACACATACCTTCCCCTAACTCATAAGATAAAAATAAAAAGAGTTACCAGATAGTAAGTGCTCTCAAAGCTCTCTCCAGGATCACAGGGTCTTTCTTAAAATGCAGGCTGTTTTCGATAACAAACTTATAGACTCAAACTGAATCTCATGGCAGCCATGAGCCCAACTGGATCTTGAGCTTCAGTACACTGCAAGTTAACTGCCTTGTTAAGAAGAAAGGCCTCATGAGTGGCTCTGGGGAGTCAGGATCTGGGCTGCTTGGTTGTTTTTGTTGATATGACAGAGCTGGGCCATCTGGGAAGAGGGACCCTCAACTGAGAAAATGTTTCCATTAGATTGGCCTGAAGGAAGTCTGTGGGGCATTTTCTTGATTAATGATTGATGTGGGAGGGCCCAGCTCACATGGGCAGTACCACCTCCAGGCAGGTAGCCCTAGGAGGGATAAGAAGGATATCTAAGGGAAGGAAAGAGACTCAGTGTTAAAACGCACTTGGTGCTCTTGCAGAGGACTTGTGTTCTGTTCTCCGCATCCATACTCACAACCATCTGTGACTCCAGTTCCAAAGGTTTGACATGCAGGCAAATAATCATAATATAAATAAATCTAAATAAATAAATATGAACCCAGAGAACAAACCAATAATCCATGGTCTCTGCTTCTGTTCCTGCCTCCGGGTTCCGGCCTTGAGGTCCCGCCCTGACCCCTTTCATGATGTAAGATGAAATAAACCCTTTCTCCACCAGTTCCTGTAGCCATGGTGTTTATGGAAACAGAACGCAATCTAGGGCAAGAGAATGCCACAGCTTACACAAGAAAACTGACGATGCCTCCAATATGACCATGAAAATTCTGCCTATTTTGCTAGCTGAAGTTTTTTTTTTTAAAGATTTTATTTAATTTTATTTTATGTGCATTGGTGTTTTGTCTGCATTCATGTCTGTGTCAGAATGTTGGATTCCCTGGAACTATAGTTACAGGCATTTATAAGCTGCCATGTAGATCCTGGGAATTGAACCCAAGTCCTCTATAAGAGGAGTTAGTGCTCTTAGACCCTCCTCCCCTCAAGCCATCTCTCCAGCCCCAATAGCTGAAGTTCTAAAAGCCAAGTGGCCATGCAATCCCTACGGCTGAGAGCCCTGTGTTCTTCAACTTGAGTCAATGTCCCTTGGCTTCCTAACAATCCATGTGTGTGAGTGTGAATGTGTATACATACATGTCTTTATGTAGGTGTGAATGCATGTGTATGTGTGCGCGCGTGTTGAAGTCAGAAGACAACCTTGAGTGTCCTTCTGTAGGCACTATCAGCACCTCCGCTGTTTTTCTTTGAGACAGTTTCCTTCACTGGCTTGGAACCAGCCAAGTAGGCTGGTTGGCTGGCTCAGAGCCTCTAGGATACATGTGTATCTGCCTACCTTATGCTGGGTCTGTAAGTATGACACCAGCACCCGGCAGATTCTTAAGATTTATTATTTTTTTTTTTTTTTTGCAGGCAGTGGTTGTGCACACTTTTAATCCCAGTACTTGGGTGGCAGAAGCAGGCAGATCTCTGTGAGTTTGAGGCCAGCCTGGTCTACAGAATGAGTTCCAGGACAGGTTCCAAAGCTACAAAGAAACTCTGTCTCAAAAAAAAAAAAAAAAAAAAAAAAAAAAAAAGATTTATTATTTTTTTTTTTCATTAAAAATATGTCACCAGGAAGTAGTGGCACACACCTTTAATCCCAGCACACGGGAGGCAAAGGCAGAGGATCTCTGAGTTTGAGGCAAGCCTGGTCTACAGAATGAGTTTCAGGACAGACAGATCTACACAGAGAAAGCCTGTCATGGAAAAAAAAACTATGAGTATGTGTACCTGCTTATCTCTAAGTCCACCATGTGCATGAGATAGCTTGGGGAGGCCAGCAGGGGAACCCATGGAGCTGGATTAAAGGAAGCTGTGAGATGTCTGATGTGGGTGCTGGGAACCTGGGTCTTATGCAAGAGCAGCAACTGTCTTAACCACTAAGCCATTTCTCCAGGCCCTCATTTTATTTTTAAATTGTCTCTGTGTGTATGTGTGTGTGGCTGCGGACTGGTCATATGCAGGAGTGCTAGTGCTCACAGGGGAAAAAGAGGGTGTTAGATCCCAAGCAGCTGGAGTTACAGGTAGTTGTGAGTCATTACACATGGATGTTGGCATTGACTTTGCTCCTCTGTAAAAGCAGTTGGTTTTTTTTTTAATTATTTATTATTTATACAGTATTCTGTCTGTATGTCAGAAGAGGGCACCAGGTCTCACCATGGTTGGTTGTGAGCCACCATATCATTACTGGGAATTGAACTCAGGATCTCCGGAAGAGCAGCCACTACTCTTAACCGCTGAGCCATCTCTCCAGCCCAGCAGTTGGCTTTTTGAGACAGGGTTTTTCTGTGTAGCTCTAGCTGTCCCGAAACTTGCTCTGTAGATCAGGCTGGCCTCGAACCCAGAGATCTGCCTGCCTCTGCCTCTTGTGTGCTGGGATTAAAGGAGTGCACCACCAGGTTGGCTCAGTGTTTTAAAATATGGGTTGTTCTGGGGATCAAACACAGGACCTTATACTTACTACACAAGTACTTTACTCATTGGCATGTCTTTCCAACTCTTTCTCGTTTCTGGTGCTGAGGCAAGATCTTCGGGTTTCGGGTTTGCTAGGCAAGTGCTCTATCACTGGTTTAAATCCCCAACTTCCTAACTTTTAAATTGATTTTACTTTGTCTTTATTTATGTGCATTTATGTGCAGATGTGTTTCAGTGCCCATGGAGACCAGAAGTGCATGTCAGATTCCCTGGAGTGGGAGTTACTGTGACTGTGAACCACTTGATGTGGTTACTGCAAAAAGAGCTCTCTAGTCCTCTTAACTGCTGAACCATTCTCCCTCCATTTCAAATTCAGTGTTTTCTCCTATTCTACAGACTATAATAAATATGATAAAGCTAGAGACTCAAATAGTACTTCCCATACCTGCAGATGCCTGTGCATGGGCATCAGTGTGGCGCTGGCAGACTTTAGTCAAGAACTCACTCACTTGACGCAGGGAAAGGGCATTGTGTAGTGTTTCCAGGGGGTAGATGGTAGGGACCATGGAGCACCCTTCAAATCCTGTTGGAGAAGAGATGAACAAAGCCAGTGTTATTCTCAGCAGATATACTCCAAGTGGCCAAGGAAGGGTGGAGAGTCCCTGAGAGCTATCAGGAGAGTCTGTGGCTTCTGGAGTATGGGGCATCCAAGCTTCCCAGGAGAAGGAACTCTTTAGAGCCCTTCAGGAAGTCTATTTATCTCATCTCCAATCTTCCCTAACATGTCTACCTGTTAAGCCTCCAAGTGATCATATCACATTCACCTATGAAGAGCACACAGTGTCCATGGACTAATGAGAGCACTAACGCTGCTCTTGCACTTTCTGGGGGAAACAAAATGGGGATCAAGGGGCAGGGGGTTGAAATCGCATGTCTAACATGAGGCAGCGGGTCATGGAGTTCGGAAGGAACAGCAGATTTCAGGTATCATGAAGAAAAAAAACAGATTAAGGAGAAGGGCATGGAATTGGAGGAGGGGTTCATGCAAATTTAGGATGTGGGTAGAAGGTCTAGAATACTGGGATGCAAACTGGAGAGCATGCAGTACATGAAGCTCAGCTGAGGGACCACATGCATGAACAGGGCGGGGAATGGAAGTTCTTTCTTGGTCATTTCCATCACATCAAAGCTTTTTCCTTGTGTTCTAGCAGTAACATCCTGGGCTTGCTAGGTTTTCTCTATTCCACCAGGAAAATGAGACAAGCCCCACCCCTGAGAAAAATACCATGTAATACAGGTCTATAATCTTGGTAGGGCCAAAGGTAAACATCAGTGAATAACTCTACTCCTAGGACTATTAACGGGGAAAATGCTCCCGCTGAAGAATCAAGAACATGTCCTAAACACTCTCAGTCCCCACTCGATCCAATGCTGCTTCTCCTGAAAGGAACTAAGAACAGGGAGGGAGAACCATCTACAAAAGACTGAGCCTCCTCTTCACCAGCTCAAACTGACCATACCTGACCATCTTCTAACCCCCAGCTTTGTTTGTCTTGATATTTAGTTGATGCCCTTGTGCCTTGGCTTCCTCTTACAGTCTAGTGGCAGGAGGGCAGAGGAGTCTCTAGCTCATCAGAGTGGTTAGAAAAACATTTGAATTTGAAGAGGATAGTAGTAGAAGATTAGAGCGATAAGAAAACATTAAAAAACAAAACCCACCAGATTCCACTGCAAGAGATTATGCCTACGCTGAACAGAAGGGGTAACGTTAGGGGGAAGTAAGAAAGGAGACTAGAAGGGGGATGAGCAGCCAACGCTACAGCTACCAGGCAGCCTGGCCCCAATCCCATTCAAGCAACTAACGCAAGTCACATAACCTCAGGGACTAGATAGGCTCTCCAGCCGGAAATGCAGTAAGCAAAGCAATGAGTCCCAGCCAGGGGAGTGGCAGCAGCCAGCCTGCGGCAGGGGTACCGTAGAGGCACTCGGGGTCATCCTGGCCTGAGCGCAGCCAGTTCCGGAAGAGGCGCAGGTGGTAGGAGCACTGGTGCAGGTGGTGCGCCAGCGTGGCATCCAAGGAAACTGGCCAGCCCCTTGGGCAGTCAGAGGAAAAAGTGCGCAGCAACCGGACCACAGGGTGCTGGTCATCCAGCAGCTCTGTAGGGGACAGAGGGACCACGATAGGAAGCACAAAGATAAAGAAAGAAAAGAAGGAGAGACAATGAGGGGGCGCTGACTGGCACAGCGTTCCTGGGGGTGGGGGCCACTTAGACCCGAGGTAAGCTAAGGAAGAAGGAGGGATGGTCAGAGAGACTGGCCATCCCTTACTTGGAAGAAGAGTACTGACACCACACGGTGAGACTCAAAGAAGCCATTAATGAGAGCCCAGGCCCTCCCCTTCTCCCTTGAGCAGTAGGGCATTCTGGATACGAGTGAGCTGCTAACTCTGCAGCCTTGACTAGAGCTCAGCATCTGTGATCTGGCTTAGACAAACCCTAGGGCCTACTTCTCAGACAAACGGGTTTATGACATTGGGACAGAGATGAAGAGATTCAATGTCACTCAGAGAAGAAAGTCAAAATATTAGATGTCAAGATAACTTCAAAACTGAAGCATTCCAGAAGGCTAAGGCCCACTGTTATGCAGATTCTAAGATAGCCACACACAGGACTGGTGCCAGGTGGCTGGCACAAAACACTGGCAGGAAACCAGGAGAAGGACTCCTTTGAAACAGTGCAGGTAGAACCAGAGTTTGCTCTTTATAGTAAAAATATGACTCACTGCCCTTTACCTTCCTCTTGTACAAATAAACACTTTAGTCTCCGAATATGGGTGGTGGTGATGTGCCCGTCATTGGGACCAGAAGTTAGATAATCTTACTCTGTCTCTCCATGGATGGTGGTCTAACCACTCTCTGTGCAGCTGGTGTGTGGAAGAACGCTAATTCGGAAACCCTCATTGTTTCAGTCACTTGGCACATTCTGTGGATGCCTGGGGTTCAGCAGCAAAACGGCTGAAGGCATGGAAAGCCATGTGATGAGGGGTACAAGAGGAACAGCCGTGTAAGATCTTGGAGGAAAAATATGGAGATGAAGGCTGACATGAGGATGAACAAGGGCTTGATCCAGGAAAGGCAGGAGGATCAAAGTGGCTAAGATGACGGCTCAGAACTCCCGGATCAGACCTGTTTCACCTGCTGGTCCCATGAGACCACAGCTTCCAAAGAGCTTGGTTTTTAGTTCTTCCTGGACTAGTACAGTGAGGCCTGACTGTACCAATGGTCACGCAGCTGTGTGGGGTGATGTAATATAGAGAGCCTGACAAACCCACTGGGTGCTCTGACACTTTGGATGAGTATGAACCACTGTCTCTTTCCCACTGGATGAACTTGCTTTGGTGAGCTCAGCGAACAGTTTAGTGATGTACCATACCCGTGTGCTTGCTGTAACCATGGGCTATAAAAGCTCCTCAGGAAGAGAAGCAGGGATGTACTAGGTAGGACCTGCTCTCCCATCAGAATATGGAGACAGCATTGCCTTGTCTCTTTTCCAAAGTTTCCAGTTTTTGGGGGCTTTGTTTGTCTGTTTGTTTGTTTGTTTTAACTGCTGTGTCAAAGCCACACATCATACAAGGAGATGGTGACACTGGGCAGTGGGGCTGGCACATGGTTATAAAGAATCTGCCATAGGCAACTGTAGACAGAACAACTGCTCTGTAATTGCTGACTCAGTAAAGCAAGACATTGGCCATGTGTAGAGCTCTCGTGTTGTCTTCAGGGCTAAATTCTATCAAGATGATCTTCTTTGTCAAACACAACAGTTCAAATTTCTCAACACAACAGGCAGATCTCAGGTCCTGGCTTTGCAAGCATATTAACTTCCTAGCTCAAACACAAGAGAGATAAGGAGGCTAGAAGAACCCTGGGGAAGTGTGCAAGGTGTCGGAGACCTTAGGTTGTTCTCCTGCACTATACCTGAACTGTCCAGGTCTTTCTTCCTTTCCTCCTTATGGCAAAATTAATTCTTGCTTCTTCTTCAGCTGCTGAGTCTGCTAACCAAGGCTTCAGAGAACTAGAGATACAGGCTTGAGGATTTGTTTTATGAACTCGGGTTTTTTTTTTTTTCTCTTGTGGCACCCAAGAAACTGGGAGGTGGTAAAAGAGGAAGGAGAAGGAAGGGGTAGAGAGACTGAACTTGTACAACAAGTAACGATGCTAGTCTCACGATGGCAACACTAATGCATTCATCACCTCTCCGGAGACCCAGCTCTCAGCACCCTAGTAGTGGAAGGTCTCCCTTTCTGGCTTTGGCGGCCTATTTTAAGCTTTAGAAAAGCATATTTATTTTAATTTTATATTGAGCTCTTATTTCAGAGGCCCAGGCTCCTGGTACTATATTTCCAACTAAGTCCAAGTCTCGGGCTTTTGGGCATCAAGTTCTCCTCTGTGACAACTGTGGTATGCGAGACTCTATGAGTTAGCACGGACATGTCACTACGGACAGGGATTTTGGCCATAGGCAGTGAAAAGAGACTGGTGGTGGAAATGAACTGAAGGAATACAGGGTGGTCAACCCAGAGAGAAACTTCAGTAGTGTCTAGAAGATATACATGACATGGTCAGGCCAAAATCTAACACCTGCTATTGGTGGGGCAGCTGGGCAGGAAATCAGGGTAATTTTACCTTCCTCTGACAATCTCAGCTCTTGAATACAAGAAAACCATATCTAACAAAACTGGATTTACTCGGGGGACAAGATACAACACAAAGAAACAGCTGAGAGTAGGTCTTAGGATTCCTTGCCACACCCCACAAAGAGACCACAACCTTTCAGGGTACAATTTACACAGACTTAGCTCTTCTATATTCTTAAAATATTGCTAATTCCTAAGTTCTCCAAGGATTCCTATCTCACCCCTTTATTTCCACCTTCTCTGAGACAGTGTTTCTAGAGATATACCTGGCCTCTTGGAAAATAAAGACTCAAGGTGTAGAGGCTGGGCCTAGCTCTGGGGCAGAGCATACGGCTAGTACACACAGATACCAGGGTTCAATTTCCAGCACTGACCACTCAGCCAAAGGGGAAAAAGGGAAAAAGAAAGAAACCACAAGGTACAGTCCTTTCTTCTTACCTAGTATCTCCCATTCCTATTTTTTTTTTCTTTTATCCCAAAGCAACCTGGGCTCCAGTTTTCTAGACTCAGGCACTAGGTTAGTAAAACACAAAGCAGATGTCAGGAACACAAGAGCCACACAAAGTGCACACAATGGCAGGAGACAGGAATATGCAGATGGGAAGTCATGTGTCCAAACCAAAGCCCTAATAAGTAACTGTAGCATTGGTCCAAAAGAAGAACACACGCTGCCTCCACCCCATCAAGGAGATCAAATTACATAAACGGAGACAGCAGGGAGAGAGGGAGCCCTATCTAGGTGATGCTATTCTCGGCTAAGGACAACCTCAGTATGTCTGTACATGGCCTGGCAGCTATGTGATAGGAAAGGGAGCGTCGTGACTGATGTTTCGGTGGTGATGCTCACAAAGGTTATGGGATGGTGATGATGGTGACTATGGAAATCAGACCCTGAGTTGCCACAGGGACAGGTCAGCCTATCCAGGCTACAGCCACGGCTACAGCTGTCACGAGGGAAATGTCCCCAGCAGGGACACTTAGTGAGGGGCTCATTCAGAGAAAGCAGGTGTCAATATAGTGGAAGGAGAGGCCAAGTCAGCGTCAGAACTCAGGGTTAAGTGTCTGGAGGTGGCATGAGGGAGGAATGAGGCTGAGTCAGCAGCAAACGTACCGTTAGTCGGATGCTTTGCAAACGACACAGAAAATCGTTTTACGGCCGGGACAAACAAGAGCTCTGGGGAGAAAAGACATCACGGGGATTATACCCACCCCTGTGCCCACCCTCGGCTTTGGAACCTGCCCACTGTGCACCTGGTGCTTTACCTCGCTGTGAAATTTGGTCCCATCCCCAACCCTGGGACCCTGACTACAACACTCCACTTATTTCCTCTGCTGTACTCTCCAGGAGCTGATGTCACCTCCACCACAGCATGGTCCCACAAAACAACCCTGATCTCACCACCATGCTCTCTTCCTAGCCACTTGGAAATGAAATCTGTATAGAAACATCCTTCCCTTCCCCCAGTATCTTTCCACATCATCTTTTCACCTTCGCTGAGCAACCGCACATGCCTAGCCCTGACTCCCTGGAACTTCAGCAAGACCCCACTGCATTCCTCCTGACCATGGATCATCCTCTCGGTCCTCATCCTACAGGCCAGAATCCAGGAAAGAGTACAAATTGATGCAGCCAGGCTGTGTGTGGGAGCTTATGAAGGGATAAGCATAAATCAGTAGTATCTGTATGGTGAGAGGAAATGCAAATGGAGGAGTGGAAGGGGTCCCGGCTCCTTCTCCCATCTATATCACCCATGAGGAAGCTTAGTACAAGGCCAATGCCAGTGCCATCTTAAGCATGGGTAGTTCTGAAGCTGTATGCTTGCTGGGAGACAAGTTTTTTTTGTTTTTTAAAGAGAGACAGAGAGAGAGAGTTGCCCCCCAAAACCCACCCACATACCATCTCGGTGCTTTAGACTGGCAGGCGGGAGTTTTTTGCCATGGCTGCGGGCGTAGTCCTGAAGATTCGGAGCGCTGGAGGAGCCGCCCAGCACTGTGGTGCTGAACAGCCCTGTGCACTGTGAGCCTGCAGGGCCGGGAGCACATTAGTAGCCACACAAAGCTGCATACAGAACTTCACAGTACAACATTAAGACACACACAGCCATTCAGCGCCACCACAACGCAGCTACTCCAGGTAACCAGTGTCCTCTACTGTCCATAGCCACACCAGGCAAGCAGAGTAGCAACTCTCCAGAAGATCTACATGGCAGAGACAAAAGGCCACTACAGAAATGGTGTTAGTCTTATTAGGCATTCGGTCTACTGAGGTGGATGGTGCTTTCCAGGTAGCTCTCAGAAGTACTAAAAGAACAGTCTCCCTAAACTTCTAAAAGCTACGTTACTTTGTGTAGGAGGTGAGAATGCAGGCCATGTCGTGCACGTGGAGGCCAGGGGACAACTTGCAGTACTCAGCCCTCTCCTTCGATCGTGAAGGTCCCAGGGATTAAACTCAAGTCATCGGGTTTGGCAGCGAGTGAGAGCCTTCACTGCTGAACCACCTTGTGGTGCACGTTCGTTCCCCTACGCCTAACCAGGGGTCCTTTACTCTGGATAGAGGATTTTAGGGACCCAGAAATCTAGCCCCTTGAAGGCTTGAAAGGAAAAAGCTTTCACTGGAATTAGAGACTGGGTTTGGCTACTTGGCTGGCACACAATCCCATGTTCTTCATCTAACAATCTATCATTCAGAGCTTTTCTCACAAGTATGAGCCTTCTAAAGCTGAAAGGGACTCAGAGACCATCTACTTTAACTTTTTCATTTTACATAATTGGTGAAGAAACAGACCCAAAAGGAGTCTCTTTTGCTCAAGGTCACAGTACAGGAGGTAAAGAAGACCAGAATCCAGGTCTCCTTCCTCCGGATACTATGTTTGGTTAGAAGAGAAGGATTTTCCTCACAAGGAAACAGCACAGATTCTGAAGTCAAGATGGACACAAATCAGAAGACATCTGAAAAGTCATCCGCTTATAAAGTAGGGCATACCAGTTATGTGCTAAGCACCCTACTAAGACAGAAATCAAGAAACAATGGGAAAACCGTCTTTCTTTTCCTGCTCTGAAAAGTTTATTGTCTTGCAAGCCCTGTGATCAAAACCAGCTGCTCACATATGTAAGTTCAAAGAGAGCAAAAAGAAGTGCCAGTCTGAGGAGTAAATGAAACACGAAGAACCCTTGAAAAGGGCAAGTCAGGTCAGAAACCGTCCCCAGGGTGACCTAGAGAGAGTAGGGCCGGACTCCCCAGTCCTCCATCTACAGCCTCGGGGACAGAGAAACCTGGAAGTCATAGGACCAACATTCTTAAGTGTGGTGGCACACACCTTTAATCCCAGCACTAGGGAGGCAGAGGCAGGAGGATCTCTGTGAGTTTGAAGCCGGCCTGGTCTACATAGGGAGTTCCAGGACAGCCATGGTTATACAAAAAGACCTTGTCTCAAAAAAGCAAAAGTAAGGCATTCAGATTCTTGGAATTTGCCCTTCTACTTCCAAATTCATCATAGTCAAGACCCTGAGTTTGGCTGGGGAGGTCATATCCATATTCAGACTGGAAGAGAGGATCCTTTGAGCCTACAGAGAAGACCAGGGTCCCAGTATTTCAGGGCTACCAGAAAAATCAGAAAGCTCAGTTAGGCAACGGTTTCTACCCTGGCATCCAGGACCTCTTTATGCAGCAACTTCTCCCAAATTCCATGCTCAGTCAGGCTTTGGAATGAAATGTCACCCTACAAAAGATGTCTGCTTTTCTTCAGAGAAGGCTGAAGGGAGATGGCTCTACCCTAGACCACAGCAAGCTCCGTCCTACATTGACTTCCTCTCTGAATACTTTTCTGGTACAATCCTGCCAGCCCCACTCTGCCTGGTCCTCAGGCGTCTCAGAGAGCAGTCTCTATCTTACCATCTGTCACTAGGTCTGTGTGTCCCTCACTCTGCCACATTCTATTTGCTTCATTTTGAGAGTAGAGTCTCCCTGTGTTGTCCATTCTGGCTAGCCCAAACCCCTGGGTTTTAGGGGTCCTCCCATCTCATTCCCCACAAGTGTTTTGGTCTATAGGCATATGCCACTGCACTATATATACTCAGTCTCCTATGCCTTATTCTTTTTCCTTTTCTCTTCTTTCTTCTTTTTTGTTTTACGTTGGTTTTGGTTTTGGTTTTTGAGACAAGGTTCCTCTGTTGTAGCCCTGGCTGCCCTGGAACTCACTCTGTAGACCAGGCTGGCCTCCCTTGATGCTGGGATTAAAGGTGTGCACCACCACCGCTTGGCTGTTTGTTTTGTTTTTATGAGACAGTCTCACTGTGTAGGCTTGGATGGCTTGGAACTCACAGAAATATATCTGCTTCTCCCCCCAACCCTGACCTCCTGAGTGCTAGGATTAAAATTGTATTACCACGCTGGATCCTATGCCTTATCATTTTTCTTTTCTTCTTCTTTTCCCCCCATTTTTCTCTCTGCTTATGAAGACTCCCACTTACACACCTATCTACTTTTTAACCTATCTAAAATCTATTCCTTTATCTTCTTTATTTTTCTTTTTTCATTCATTATTTATTTATTTATTTTGGGACAGGGTTTCTCTGTATAGTGTTGAAGCCTGTCCTGGAACACTCTCTGTAGACAAGGCTGGCCTCGAACTCACAGAGACGTGTCTGACTCTGCCTCCTGAGTACTGGGATTAAAGGTGTGTGCCACCATCGGCCAGCTCTGAAATCTACTCTTTACTGGATTTTGCTGTTTCTTGACCTTTGGAATTTATGGGGCAAGAAGTCCACTTTGCTGACCTATAGTTGTCATTTAATCCTCAGAGTTGGTTTAATCCCCAAACCAACCAACTGATTTCAGGGTTCTAGAAGCCAGTCTACTTCCATAAAATTAGCTTGGAAAGTTACAAAAAAACATTTTTCCTCTTTACTAGTTCATATATTAACATTTTGGGACCAAAAAATTAAGCAGCAAGGACAAAAATAACAAAAAAATTAGAAGGTTTGAATATAGAGACTAGGACAAGATTTTTAAAAAATGAGCCAGGAGAACCAGTTCAGACCCCGCAAATCATCTCTGACCTGCAGTTAGTTACTTGGTTTACACGGCATTGTGTTCAGAGGCAGTCCATCTCAAGGACTGCCCCATAGAATACCATACCCTCTGAGGCTTGGTGCTTCCTCAAGTCTGTGTCCTTAGAAAAGGTTAAATGACGTTCTCCACCCCTTTCCAGGGCTCAAAAAAATCAAGAGACATTCCCTCAGTGTCCCTCTGCCACCTCACCCGTCTCAGATTTGTGTCCCTCAAGCTTCCAGAAAGAAAGGAAAAAGTTACAGGATTAGGAAAGCAAGGTGCGAACACCAGGCTTCAGAGGAAGATGTGGCCCAAGGTCTCATATGAAAATATGGCAACCAGGGATCACAAGTACCTCTAGTTTTACCTGCATAACCCAAGCACCTGTCACTGATAACTCTGAAGGGTCAAAGCCTCCATGGTCCCTTAAAGTCTGGGTTGGACTGGAGGGACAGATAAGGAATGAGAAGGAAAGCCAGAAAAACACCCTGCAGCTAGGGAAATGGGGATTGGTGGGGAAATCAAAAGGTAAACACTCTTCTGGGGCGAAAACAATCACCTAGACCTATCCAAAGGTAACTCCGGCCTCCTCCACTCCATCCCTTCCTACATCTGACAGTTCCCGTGATGAAGATTTCCCACAATAAAACTCTGGATAACAGACAGACAAGCCTTTCCAACAACAGGTAAGAGATGCGGGAAGCCTACCTAGGCCACTCTGCTTCATCTCTGTTGGGGGACGCGAAGATGAAAACAGCCGGTAGCCACCGGGCCTTGAAGATGAAGTCTCAGACAGCACCTGTAGAAAAAGGACTTTATATCAATCCCCTTGTCACCTCAAAGTAGAAAACCCAGGTTCTGAATCTTGCCCCTACAAAGCCAAGCAGTATCAAAAAGATTAGATGAGCCAAAAGATTTTTATGGTGGAAGAGGAAAAAGGGAACAGAGTGCACGCTGCAGAGTGAACTGTCCAGGGAGTTCATCTATGTTAGAAGGCACGTCTACTGCCCAAACACTGGTCCTTGCAACCTCCCCGCCCCCACCCCCCAGATCTGGCGAACCGCAATCCAACCATTTGTTGTCCTCAGCCGAGTCGGCACTTCAGTCTTACCTGCTCCTTCCTAGAACTCAAAACTCAGTGACTTAGCCACAAATAAAGTATGGCCTGCCCTCTCTTTTTTCCAGAGACAGCTGGGGTGAATGGAGCCATCCTCAGTTTCTTGTATAAGCCAAGAAGCCCTCCCCTCCAATTATTTTATTCCTGGATACATGAAACTGATTTTTTCCCCCCAAAATTTCCATGAGGGCCAACCACACAGCTCCCAACATCCATACATCCCACCTAAACAATGAGCAGTTTCCCTAGATCCCAAAAGCAAAGACAGAAGGCAGGAAAGGAAGGCAAGGCGGGAAGAGACACCTGTGTGCAGGAAGCCAGGTGAGTGGTGGACACAGCCCGGGGCTGTAGGCCGATGGCTGGGGAAAGCCGGGGGAGGTCTCCTGACCTCCTGCGGCGCCGTCCCCTCAAGGGGATCAGGTCCAGGTTCCCCGTGCACTGCATGTTCATGACCTGCAATCAGACCGGGTGGAAAGCCGGTCAAGGCTCCTTTAGCCCCCAAGTTCCCAAAGTCCCAGTGCCCAAAGGGCAGAGTCAGAGAGCTGGAGAGGATGGCCAGCTAGGGCACAGTTGCTATTAAGGTCACAAATTTCATAATCTAAAGCAGTTCAAAAATATGAGATGACAAGAGAAGGAGGGATGAGATGTCATTGATGAGGATAAGATGTCCAATATTGGCCTACAGAGCAAGGAAAGAAAATATTAATAATATAAGGCTGTGTGACTAAGGACTGGCTGAGGAGCACATTCTGAGCAGTCATCACCCTAAATGAGCCAGGATCTAAATACCAGAGACCCAAAAGAAGGAATGTGGTTACAACAGGAATCGCAGAGAGTTCTGGAGGCTCAAGCCTGGGAGTCCAGCTCAGGAGGATAAGGCAAGAAGATCACCAGTTCAAAGTCTGCATGAGCTACAGGGTGAGTTCAACATCAGCCTCGGTAATTCAGCAAAACCCAGTCTCAAAATGAAAGACAACAGAAAGGGCTGCGGATGCCACTCGGTGCTTAGAACACTTGCCTGGCATATGTGAGGCCACAAAGAAAAGGAATCACACTCAAGGAAACTTCCAGAAAGAAGACAATCCCAGTAAGCCTGAGAGAGGATGTGCAGAGTGATGTCCCCTGAGCTGACATAAGATGGCAAAGGGACAGCCCGGGAAGACAAGCACATACTGTCCCGTCGTCGGGTCAGTGTGTGCAGAGTGCTGGGCACCTGGTTCCACCTGCGCCTCAAGGGAAACTAAGGCACATCTCCGCTAAAGAAACCGCATGTTCCAATCAGCGATCCCCTAAAACAGCCGGGAAGCAAAGGGTAAGTCTGAACAGAGACTGCAGTTTATTTTCTTGGCCTTCTCTAAAATCTGAAATGTAAATCTCTGCATTAACAATGAAAGCTTATTACAGATTTTTCTGAGATATCCCTAAAGCAGAAAAAACAAGTCCCATAAGACAGAGGCCCGCAGAGAGCAGTTGAATAGATCCATGGTTCTGAGCAGCATCCAGACCAGGCATAAGTCATGACATCGAAAGGAAAGTCATGGAGGAAATTAAAGAAAGTATCACTGGGCCAAAGAAGAAAATCGCATTACCAAGAAAGACAATTCCAAACCTGAGGAAAGTAAGGAGATGCAGTGATAAATCTGTACAAGTTCTGTCCTCTAGATTAGAAAACCAGAGTGGGATTTGAGAAAAAGTCTAAAAATATCACAACACAGACCCAGGCAGATAAACCTCCTCATCAGGAGAGACATAGACTCTGGATGATCAATTATCCTTCCGGCATGACATTATAGATAACCCTAATAGCATTCAAGTGCCAAGAACTGCTCAAGCCTGAACAAAGAGAAGGAGAGGGCCTGGCCTCCACCATCACTGCATGGCTACCGCAGTGACTGTTTGTGCACTGTTTGTGTGTAAGATAAGGTAGATATTGCTCACATCGTATAGAGGGAAAAAGATGAAAGGTTTGAGAAGCTTCTGAGAGTCAAATGGTGATGTCAGCCCAGAAGTCATACTGTCTCTACTTTATCCTAAAATTTTTCCCCTTAGGTATTGCTCATTGGCAAGTCTTTAACATCACAAGTAACAACCAACTTAAAGAAGTCCTACTGGGGACCAGCTGTGAAAGAAATATTAGGTAAACATAATAAATACCACTGCAAGGGGCTCAAGCTTTAAGTCTCTAGAAGATTCAGAGGAACGAGGATGTTTTCCTACGAGTACTGGTACCCCATCATCATCTTGTCCATCTCATTACCTCCATGGAGCCAGCTTTTCGATTCCGAATGAGGGGTGACCTCCTTGGGAGGCCAGTGCCCTCGACAGGTAGGGGAGAGGTCTGCAATGCTCGGTCTGGTTCGTCTGAGGTCTTCCCTGGGCACAGGTTCTCTATGCTGCCTTGATCTGCTTTCATCTCCTCATTCTGTTTCATAATAGACAAATGGAGAGACATAATGATTTTCATCTTCCTAATATCAAACTCCTCAATCTTCTTAACCACCCTTGATTACTTCCCAGTTTCCTATCACCTGGTTCCCTGGGCCCTAAGTCCTAGCGCCCCAAATCCCAGCTCTCTGACCCACCTCTGAAGAAGCTGGGCGGAATCCACAGCCAGCTGGAGCACTGCCCTCTTCAATACCTTTCACCCCAGGGCTGAAGTGGAGCTCCACATGGAACCGCTCCTCCGACAATGGGTCCTATGGGGCATCACCATATGAAGGGTAATTGGGAGAATCTGGATGTGGTGACAGGACACGCGGGAGCAACAGAGAGGAACTCACAAGGATACAACCACCCAGGAAAGCCAAGACTGAGGTTTCAGGGTCTTGCCCTAAGTCTGGGACTCATCTATTATAGGAGCTCACGCCTCACCTCCCGTTCTACAATCCTTCCTTTCCATCTCTCCTAGTAACAGCCTGGCTATGGTATACACAGCAGAACTTTAAAGCTGTCTTTGCTAAGACTGATGCAGAAGGCATGTGTGTATATGCATATGTACACACACACACAGAGCAATATCAGCAGAAACAAGACTCATAAAACATTGTCCCAAATTCCACAGTTGTTCTAGGTTATTTCTCTGGTTCAACATCGCCCCAGAACAGAGTTCTGTTCCAGTGGACTCCTTCTAGGTGCTCTGTGCCGTGCTGCATCTAGCTGGATTCTAGAAATTCTTTTTCTTTAAGACGAAAACAAACTTATTAAGTACACTGTAAAGAGAGCAACAGATATGGCAGTTGAAGAAAAACTACTGACCAAAGTCTATAAAAATCTAAAAATAGGAAAGATTTTGTGAACCAATGGGACAGCTTAGCAGGTACAAGGGTTTGCCACTAACCCCAGTGATCTGAGTCTGATCCCACTGCAGTGAAGAGGAGAGTCAACTCCTGCAAGCTGTTCTCTGATCTCTATACACGTACAGTGCATGCCTGCACACACACTGATCTTTATACATATACGGTGTGTGCTTGCAAACACCGATGCGCACACACGCACACATTGATCTCTATACATGTACAGTGCATGCCTGCACACACACTGATCTTTATACATATACAGTGTGTGCTTGCAAACACCGATGCGCACACATGCACACACTGATCTCTATACATGTACAGTGCATGCCTGCACACACACTGATCTTTATACATATACAGTGTGTGCTTGCAAACACCTATGCGCACACATGCACGCACTGATCTCTATACATGTACATACAGTGCATGTCTGCATACACCTTTACAAGTGCATGCACACACTGATTGCTATACATGTACGGTGCGTGCCTGCACATACCTACATGTGCACACGTGCACATGCATGCATACACACACACATACACATGCATGAGCACACTAAGTGTTTAAAAATAAAAGGTAAGTTGCTTTTTAATGGGAGTAGGAAGAAGGGCCCTCTCCTCATCCCACCCGCTGGCTCCTCACCCGTGTGTTGTCCTCATAAAGCATGATAACAATCTGGGTCATGTAGTTGAGCTCTGAGATGGCACTAAGATAAGCCAAAGCTCGCTGCCATTGTGCATCCTGGGTCTCCTACCAAACACAAACAAAGGTAAGCCAGTGCCCAAGGACAAGTAAGAGGAGTGGGCAGGGGACCGAGGAGAATGGCAAACGTCCACAGGAAAAACAGACGCAAGGACAGCTGATGACTGCTAGAAAAGATGCTCAGAGGTCAAAGGAGGGAGGAGGATGCTTACGTCAAGAAGTCCCCCATAACGGAAGACACTGAGTAGGGAGTGAACGTGACTTTCACTGGTGAAATACAGACGTGTTCGAACATGGCGCCCTGGAGAGAGCACTCCACGGGAGTACCTGACATGGAAGTCAAATCAGATACCCAGTCAGATAATTCTTTCCTGTGACAACTCCTCCTCCCACCTAAAGACTTCTCTCCTCACCATCCCAGACCCTATCTCTTCTTGGCCCCCCAGGGCTCCCAGCATGCCCTCCCTCCCTCCCTCCATCCAGTTCCCCTCCCAGCCCTCCCTCACAGGGGATGCAGCTTGTTGACAGACTCATCCTCGTGGGTTCTCTGTAGGTCAAGCAGGATTTTCCGCAGAAGGGGAAGACAGAAGCCCACAGCAATTTCCATTTTCTCCTCCCGACTGATTCCATACTCCTGAGGGTCACAGGCCAGGAAGAAGAAGCAACTCAGTTATTCTTGCCACACATGTTTCCCTCAGGCCTGGCGTTTCCTTCCTGTCCATCACAGCCCCTCCAAAAGTCTCTTCAGTCAGTCCTGGTGCCCAGACTAGTCCTGGGAAACTGCAGCAACTCCATTCCTTCTCCAAGTTTCCTTTCTAGGTCCCTTTCTTTCCTCCCCTCCCATTCTCCCCACCCTACTGGATCCATTATATGAGACACACCTGGGGAATGACCACATCGGCCAGAGCTTTTGAAAGATGCAGCAACTCGGCTGTGCCCTGGAGGCCCAGACTCCCGTTATGTTGTACATCGTACTTGACGCAGTCATAGATATCAGGGATCTTGCTGATGTCATAGCGCCCGCTCTTGTGCCGGAAGTCGCGCTCTAGTTTGCTCCAACGCTGCAGCATTAGCTCTAGTGTCTCACTGTGGTAGAGCTGCAGGTCTGAGAAGAAGGCAGACAGTAAAAGGGGGCCAGACTTGACTTCCAGCGTAGAACCGGAGGGATCGGGAGTTCCTGAGGAATGCATCCGAGACTTTAGAGGGCAGACAGTAGTAATCACACCCACCTACAGAGCTGGGGTCCTGCATCCGTTCCCGAATCTGGTGGGTTAGGTTTTCAATCAGGGAAAACACCTGATTACAGACTTTGACAGGATTCTGGATGATAGACATGGAGTTGAGGAGAGAAGTGCTTCCAGTGGGAGCCAGCTGTGAGGAACAGAGAGCACAGGCTCAGGCCAATCCCCAGACTGTGGTTTACTATAGAGAAACTGGCTGTGATACAGATCTGCCTGCTGGCTCATTTCGGGAGGGATCTTTTGTTCCTGGGCATCCTGGCAGTTCCGGGCCTTTAAATGAGGAGGACACTGTCTGCTCCAACACACAAGCATCCATGAGGGGACCGTCTTAAAAGTTTCAGATCCAGAGAAATTAAAGTATACTCACAAGTAAAGTACACTTCACTTGGGTACTGTAAAATACACGTGAGAAAAGCTGGAGAATAAAGAATAAATTCCTTACAGTCTCTGGAATGTTCTGATGAGAATCAGAGGACTATCTCATACTGACTTACAGTACCAGTGTTCCATCTAACCCAGCTTCAGCTTAGGGTTTTTAGGGGTTTTTTTTTTTTCTTTTTTCTTCTTCTTCTTCTTTTTTTTTTTTTTTTTCTTGTTAGGCTTGTTTTTGAGATAAGGGCTTGCTATGTAGCCTTGGCTGGCCTAGAATTCACTCTGTAGACCAGGCTGGCCTCAGAGATCCACCTTACTTCTGCTTCCTGAGTACTGGGATTAAAGGTGTACACCACCACGACCAGCTTCAATTTAAGATAGTTACCATCAATACAAAATGAGGAGGGCTGGAGAGATGGCTCAGTAGTTAAGAGCATTTACTGTTGATGCACGGGGACAGGGAGGGTCTGGTTCCCAGCACCCATGTGGGTAGCTCACGGCTACTTAGAACTCTAGTTCCAGGAGATTCAACGCCTCTTCTGGACACCATAGGCACCTAGGCACAAGTGCACAAACCCACACACAGATATATATGCACATATACACTTAAAATAAACATAAACCGGGCAGTGGTGGCGCACACCTTTAGTCCCAGCACTTGGGAGGTAGAGACAGGTGGATCTCTGTGAGTTTGAGCCAGCCTGGTCTACAGAGTGAGTTCCAGAACAACCTGGGCTACACAGAAAATACCCTGTCCCTGTCTTGAAAAACAACAAATAAGTAAATTAGCAAACAAACAACTAAAATACTAAAAGAAAAGAGATGGGAAGGAATAAGTGTAGACGGAATAACGAGTTCTGGCTAAGGTCTCAGAAGCTTCATTCTCACTAACAAAAGGAGGCATAAAGATAGGGAGAAACCCTAGATTTTCTGTTTGACAGTGAACAACACTAGACTAGCTGGGAAAATAAGGAAACAAGTCTGCCCCTTAGTAAGTCATTCAAGAAGCTACCGGAGGGACCAGAGAAATGGCTCCGCTGTTAAGAGTGAGTCTGCTCTTCCAGGGGACCTGAGTTTGGTTTCTAGCACCCACATGGCAGCTCACAATCATCAGTAACTCCAGGGATCTGAAGCCCTCTTTTGACCTCTATGGGCATTGTACAAACATGGAGTGTGTATATAT